CAACTCACAAACCTCCCATCTTTATCGCCGCGCGTCCAAAATCATTTCTAAAACCCAAAAAAAAAAATTAAAATTGGAATTAATATTTTTTTCCTTTTGTTTTTTGTTTTTTTTATCCGTTTTTGATTTTCTTTTCATGTCTGTAATCAGACAAGTCATCCATCAACCCTCCCACCGACTCATAAACCTCCTATCTCCATCGCCGCGCGTCCAAAATCGTTTCCAAAATCAAAAAAGGATATTAAAATTGGAGTTATAATTTTTTATATTGTTTTTCGTTTTTTCCTTATCTCGATAATCTGACACATCATCCATTTATCCTCTCATCAACCCACAACCATTTTTTTTTCATTGCTGCGCGTCCAAAATCATTTTCAAAAACCAGAAAAAAAATAAAATTCGAATTATAATTTTTTTTCANACCAGAAAACAAATAAAATTCGAATTATAATTTTTTTTCCTTTGTTTTTGGTTTTTTTCATGTCAGTAATCTGACAAGTCATTCATCAATCTTCCCATCGACTCACAACCTCTCCATCTTTATCGTCACGCGTCCAAAATATTTTCCAAAACTCAAAAAAGAAATTAAAATAGCAATCTTTTTCTTATTTGTTTTTCTTATTTTTCGAAGTCGGCAATGAGACACGTCATCGAGACGTACTGAAAATAAAAGAAAAAAAAATTCTTCGCTTTCTTAATTTAAGTTGTTTTGAAATTAATTCTCCGCGATAATGGGCCGGAAGGGGTGGAGTGGGTAGGTGACGATGTACTACATAAAAAACCAATTTTTTTTATATGAACATTTTGAAAAAATCTTTTTCGGCCCTGAAATAAGTAGTAACAGAATTAAAAAAATAAAAAGTCTGACAACATTAAAAAATCAAAATCCAAAAAAAAAATAGCCTGATCCAAACACCGAAGGGGAACTTTCGATTCCAAAAATCATCCTCTACAATACCCTCCGAGGAAAGTGATCGGTTACGGGACACCCTGTATATATA